GGAGTCTCTTCCAAGACCAATTTATTTTTAAGATAAAGGTTGTCAAATATCTCCCTTCCGCTTTTTTGTCTTTTGAATTTCGCGGCTATGTACAAAGCGCTACAGAGCTCGTATCTGGCAACACTATACATAATTTGAAAGGTCTTGACATAACCTACAAAACAACGCTATGCATGATTAGTTTGGATATTGCGTTCAACAGCTATAGACGTGTAAACATGGAGTTCACTAACGCCGAAATTCGCGCTATTTTAAAGTTTTCCTTCGTTAAAGGCAAATCCGCTAGAGAAACGTTCCGTGAGATTAATGGTGTTTTGGGGGATGGTACTCTATCACTTCGAACCGCGGAGGAATGGTTTCGACGATTCAGAGCCGGTGAAAACGACACCATGGATAAGCCAGCCGGCGGAAGACCTGTGACGACAAATACCGATCAAATCATGGAATACATCGAGTTAGACCGGCATATGGCATCTCGTGACATCGCCCAGGAGATGGGAGTTAGTCACCAAACCATTTTGAACCATCTGCAGAAGGCTGGATACAAAAAAAAGTTTGATGTTTGGGTGCCGCATAATTTGACGCAAAAAAAACCTTCTGGACCGAATCAACGCCTGCGATATGCTGCTGAAACGGAACGAACTCATCCCATTCTTGAAGCGGATGGTGACTGGCAACGAAAAATGGATCACATACGACAATATCAAGCGAAAACGGTCGTGGTCGAAGGCCGGTGAATCGTCCCAAACAGTAAATTAAAGTAAACAATTAAGGTAAGTATATTTAACTATGATGGACTACATAAATTCCAGTTGGCCCACACAGTTACTAGCTATGCACCCCCATATCCTTGCTTCTTCACCCCCATTCTTCACAGTATGCATCAAGATTTCCTTATCGAGTGTCGCGCCCGTTTTTCGCCATAAAATCTTACGTCCCTTGATCCCAAAGACGCAAAACATGCTGTCATCGGAAAAAATAACTTTTTGTCAAAACTCTCGGGGCTTATTTAAGTACTCTTTTCCGACAACATTATGCACGTACCTATTGGCTAGCGATCTCAATGAGTTTTTGTGTACGACTTGACTTAATTTTTAATTTTTTTTTATAATCTTTGGATGAAAGAATGTGTTCCTCCAACAATTCGACCGATTTCAGGGTATGTTTTCCTTCTTCGAAAAGTTTAACCATTATTTCCCTTTCAGAGGGGCTTATTTCTTTTCTTTTAGGGGAAATCCGATACTCTGAATTTAATAAGAAACTGAATAGAACAAAAATCTTTTAAAAATGCTACTTTTACGAAAACAAGTAAAACTATGACTTTCCGACACTTTTACATTTGGTAATTGTTGTCTTTCCATTTATTTAAGAATCAATTAATTAATATTACTTTAAGAATTATGAGTATAGATATAAAAGGTACTGAATAGAGTTATAATTACTATTTAGTAATAGAACACGCACGTCACGTACTTGACTGCAGCGCAATCCAGAAGGAAGAAGTTGCGTTTTACAAATGCTCAGTTCTAACACTCAGTGCTGCCAATTATGAACACTGAAATTTAGTGTTGTACAGTTTTACGTTCACATCAATTATTGCGTAAGGAATTCACATTTTACGACGTGTACGCAGACTTTTTCTGCGCTGCCAAATTACTATTTTTTGTAAATTTGCCTATAAAATTAGGGTGTTAGATTGTCATTGCTTTAAATGCTATTGGATTATGCCATAGACTAGTAATAAAGCACTTAATATGATTAGTACATAAAAGTTATTTTTTGACAAAAGAAAATAAGATATTAGCGTGTACGCATACTTTTTTTTGGCGAGTGTATGTATATGGTTTAAAGTCAACTGGATGTTTGAAGATCCTTATATTAAGTATATGGGGGCTAGGGTAAGTCTTCAGGGTATTTGATCCATTTTGAATACAAGGATACGTAGTTATTATAAGGAGAAACTTTCTGAATTTTTGTTCTGATGTGTACCGTATATCGTTGACCGGACCAAATGGTTGTCACAAGGGCAATGTCTAGGCTTTAAAGCATGTGAGGCAATTGCTCACTTCAATTTGAGTTCTATCCGGTTTTAGATGCTCATAATACATTTATGACATGCAATATTGGCTTTCAGCATCCCTTGACTTCAGATGGCAACTAATTTCCTGGCCTTTGAATGTATTTAAACGTTTTGAAATGGCTGCTTGAGTGACTATCAAATATTCTGCAAGCTGTTCATATATATGGCAACAATCTTCATCGAGTAATGCTTAGAGTTCCTCTTCTTCAAACTAACTTGGCCGCCCAGGACGTTCATCTAAGTCAAAGTCACTTTTGGCACGTTCGCTTAGCTAGAGCACGTTCACCACAAATTTCCACCAAAATACGATGACTTTCGGCTGAGGTTTTCTTCATATTAATGAAGGCATGGGCCAGGGCCGCGCCGACCCCCGGCAGCGCCTGTGTGCGGAACCTGTGAAGCGCGTCTTTTTAACAAATCATCATAAAAAACGAATTCAAATTTTTAATTGTTATTTTGACTGAAATACCTAAATGTTCGCCAGTTTTACAGTACGCAGGTAATTTTTTATAAGATTTAATTTAGAAAAGGACCTTGCCGCGCTTGCTAATTATACTGGCATAGTTTGCATAATTCGTAATGCTATGTTAATGTTAGGGCATATAGCTGTCAAATTGTTTAAATATATAAATTCAAGAATTTGCACCACATCATTACACAATTTTTTGAAAATTTTCTGACATGACATAATTTCTTCACACATATCATCGGCGTTAATATCCAATGAATAATTTGCTGAAAATTTCACCTGTAAACGATGACAGCTACTTCTTAATCGTCTTTGATCTTGGTCATCACTTAAATTAAATAAAAAATAAAATACGTCGTTGTGATTATTCAATAAATCAAATCTTTCATCTACGAAGGATAACGCTTGGTCTAATATATAAAAAAATACATTAATTTTAAAAGAGGTTTTCGGATCATTTATAGTGTGGTCTTCGTGTTCATAATCAAAACTCTGGAGTTTTACGACGTCTTAGGGGTGTGGATCTGAAAGTTTCAAATTCAGTCTCGACGTCTAATTTTTCGTAAATTTTTTTGGCATCACTTACAATTTCTTCAAAATTTGTGTCTGTTCTAATTTTTATCAAAAACTTTTTTTAATTCTGCAAAAGCATCTAAAGCAACTTGCATATTCATATCTATGTTGCCAATCGCTAATTTCCTCGCAGAATTTATTTTTATACTCTCGCAACTTGTTGCTACAGAGTATAATAGTTTTGTTCACCTAACGGTTGTTTGTATCACCTAAAACTAATCGAGTTAGATATAGGGTTATATATATATAAATGATCAGGATGAAGAGATGAGTTGAAATCCGGGTGACTGTCTGTCCGTCCGTCCGTCTGTCCGTCCGTCTGTCCGTCTGTCCGTCCGTCCGTGCAAGCTCTAACTTGAGTAAAAATTGAGATATCTTTATGAAACTTGGTAGACATGTTTCATGGTACTGTGAGACGGTTGGTATTGCAGATGGGCGTAATCGGACCACTGCCACGCCCACAAAACGCCATTAATCAAAAACAAATAACTTGCCATAACTAAGCTCCGCAATAAGATACAAGACTGTTATTTGGTACACAGGATCACATTAGGGAGGGGCATCTGCAGTTAAAATTTTTTTTTAAAAGTGGGCGTGGTCCCGCCTCTAATAGGTTTAACGTGCATATCTCCTAAACCGCTAATGCTATAATAACAAAATTCACTGGAAGCAAATGTTTTTAGCACTTCTATTGACGGTATGAAAATAGTTGAAATCGGGTGGCAACTCCGCCCACTCCCCATATAACGGTACTGTTAAAAACTACTAAAAGCGCGATAAATCAAGCACTAAACACGCCAGAGACATTAAATTTTATCTCTGAGATGGTATAAGATGACTTTATAGGAACCGCGTTCAAAATTAGACAGTGGGCGTGGCACAGCCCACTTTTAGGTGAAAACCCATATCTTGAGATCTGCTTAACCGATTTCAACCAAATTCGGTGCGTAACGTTCTTTTCATGTTTCTATGTCATAGTGCGAAAATGGGCGAAATCGGACTACAACCACGCTTACTTCCCATGTAACACCATTTTCAATTCCATCTGATTCTTTCACTTTCCACTATGCAAATCAGGTAACAATGATTATATCGGGGTAAAACTTTGCGTGAATAATGCAATTATCAGTATGCCACCTTGCGGCCAAAAATTGTCTAAATCGAACCAAAACTGTTCAAACCCCTAAGTACTAAATATGTGGACCCCAGTGCCTATAGTTGACCTTCTACCGAAAATATCAGTCAATCCACAAAGAAATCTCAAACGAGTATACCATTTGACTTTGCGAGAGTATAAAATGTTCGGTTATATCCGAACTTAGCCCTTCCTTACTTGTTATGTTTTGATTCAAATAGCTTGCAACAGAAGCAGTAAACGGCATTTTTGGACACTGAATACAGCAACCACTCTCTGTGATACTTTTCACCGTTTCCTAAATGCCTTTCATAATAATACTCAGAAAATTTACGTCCCGAAGAAACACGCGAAAAATTATACTGTTTTAATTTGTTTAATCGGATTTTCTATTAAATACTGGATTAAAGTAGCGTATAAAGCTTCTGGACAGGCTCCAGGATCATCTTTGGAAAAACGTGGTATTGATGACGATAATTGTCTTGACGGTGACGATGGTGTATCAGGCACAAACGTAACTTCTTCGGCGACAGACATACAAATACATAATATTGTTTACATGAGTACCTATATATCTCCTTGTCTGAATAAACTGATTTATCTATCTATGAATAATTATTTATATTTATACAAATTAGAGTGTCTGTTTGTAATATTAATATATGGGTGTAAGCCGTAAAATATTTACTTATTTTAGTTGCATTTTTATTACGTTCCTTTTCTTGTTTTCTTTTCCTTATTAGATTCCGGTATCCCATTTGTTTTGTTTTGCCTTGGCTATCTCGTTCGTTAAAATCGGGGAATCCCCGTGACCCCACCCCGCTTGGGTCGCACGCATCGCGTCTGGTTGCATTGACAAACTTACTCATACTCATACAAACTCGGCGCCTCTACGGCTCAAAATAACTAGTATTTTTTCTCTGGTTCAAAAGAACTGCCGCCGTTTTAACGTTTACCTCGTAAGTAATGTAAACTAAAACCCTAAGCGTAAAATGAAACCATGAACGTGAATAATAATAAAAAAACACAATATTTTAGGTAACAAAACTAATTTAGGTGGCAATGGCTCGTGGCGGCGAACGCCCCTATTGTCTTGGCGCCTGTGTGCTTCGCACACTTCGCACACAGGGGCGACAGAAGCTCTTTTTCGACATATTTGAGTGAATAAAAAGATTTACGCTTTAAATGAATGACATATACTGAAAAGAAGAAAAAAAATTAACTTCGGTTGCACCGAAGCTATAATATCCTACAGTAATAATGTGAAAAAGTCAAAATAAATCGTATGGTGTTTTCGATAAATAATGTTGTCCAACAAGCGTAAAAGTCATCTATATAACAAGCTGAAGAATAAAGGCACCAATTTGTAACCGAAATGAATATGTTTGCTACGTATTATATCAACATTTAGAAGCAGTGACGTCCAAAAAGCAGCGTCACCAGGTTAGCACTCTTTCGTCGGCCTAATATAATTGTTTCTGATGGGAAGCTTCTTCTGTCTTCTGTCACTGATACAGAGAAAAATGCTTGATCATTAATCTCCTTAAATTATATTGTAAAATTGTACGAATCCCTACTTAATCCAATATATAAGATAATTCTCAACAAGGCGGAATCGACCTATTAGTAAAATAATATACAAATGTTTAAATTAATTAATATATAACTTTAAAAATATGTTCTTGGCTGAAAAAGTTAAACAATATTAAAAAATGTATATGTGCTTACCTGTTGACCTTATTTAATATTTTAATTTCGATTTTGATTTCAAAAAACAAAAAATATAAGAAAAACTGAAAATATATATTGTTTTATTTTGTAAAAAACCGATTTGTTAACAATCGCTAATAATTTTAGAATTATAGCTTCTTTAGTTTTGATAGAAATTAACCAAAACTAAACACCTGAGGTGTGCTAACCTGATGAAGCGCAGTATAATGTAACCGTTTGTTCATCAATTCATAGTTGTTTCTCCCAAATACCAAATGCATGAACTTTTTACCCATACTATCATACAAATGGCATGCTTATGTTAATAGAATATGCGTTTAATTTAGAAAACCTTAGTCATTTATCCGTCATATCCATATTGCAGTTATTACTAAAATGTATAAATTCATATTATCCCGAAAAATATTCCTAGACTAACACCAAATTGCTCCGTATCATTGAGAGTTTAAACAAGTTTGTTTTTTAAAGGTGAAGGCTGAAGGTTCTGTCGTTTTTTCCGCTCCAGCTTGCTTATACTTGTACAATTGTGATGGCCCGGATTCGTTTTGATTTAGATTAATAATTAATATACCGCTGATGATACTGAAATGTGTGGTAACTCGACATCTGGAAAACTTAATTTCCAACACATATAGGCCGTTAAAATCGCATTACCGTCTGGTAAAATATAAAGAATATGGTCTACAGTTTCACTGTTTCATTTTTTTTAAATTCTATATTCCTATTTAAATATTTTGATAGTTATATAAATGGAATAGTAAAATATATGTTATGTATAGTAGAGGACCCCGTCAACGCGTTGCTGTGGCTAAGGTATACATTAATTATTAAATTCAATACAGTAAAGATGTATTTATGAATAGAAACGAAAACGTTATTTCCAAATTTGAAATCACTTCTTGTTCTTTGTTTGGTTATTAAGCGCAAATAAACACAAGATATATGTTTTATTTTATTTTATATTCAAGTTTGTAATAAATGCGTAATTTTCAAAGTTGTTAGTTGATAACATTTAAGATAATGAAAGAGGGTAGATCATTCTTAACAATACAATATAATGTTTTTAACTATAAACCTTTTCAAATTCAATTTAATTTAGCTCTATTCGTATCGAATCATTCTGACAGTATCATTGGAAAACGTGGTAAGAGGACCATTTCTCCATTGAATTTTCCAGTCAAAAATCTTGCTACAATAATATTTCCTGTAATATTTTTGATTACCAAACGTGTACCTTTGCATAATTGAGGGGAATTGGAATTGCTCTGAATAATAATAGTTGAACAATTTTCAACCGAAGATTATGTGATGTCATTCCGAGTATATCTAAATAATTTACGTTTTCATTTGCATCGACAAAAGTAGTAATGATTGAAAATACATCAGCGCCTGGCAACAACTGTTGTAACTGCAAATTTATTTAATCAATTTCTTCACTTTTGGCCGCTATTGTAGCCTGATTAATAAGCTAGTTATGATCCAAACAATTAATTTCTACTTTCAGGAATATGCCCTCAATTAATCAAGTTTTTTTCATGATGTATTGGGTTTTTGTTTGTTCGCATATATTTGTGTTTCAGCGTTTCATAAAAACGATTACATAAACATTCGTAATGTCCTTGCTTAACTGAAGAATGGCCGGGCTGTCGGCAATCCCAGACAGTGGTAAGACAGCACCACCGAAAACTTCATCGTTGCCGTTTAAATCTTGAATTGTTCTGTGCAATGCTTCAAGAATATTTGTGAGCCATCCCTGTGCGTCGTTCACCCATAATCTAGCAAAATAGCTGCTTTGCCTTGGTGATGCAATATCCATGCGAGTTGTGATATTAAAAATTTCATACCGATTCCAAATGGTGCGTTCTACAAAAAAACCGGCTTGTTCAGTGGCAACAATCAGTATAATCACTTCACATCACTTGGCAACACTTCAAGCTGTAAAGTTGTACTTTTTTTGCTCTGAACTATTGTGTGTAATTTTGCAAAATTTCTTAAACTTTTTATTGATTTTTTAGTGATTTAGTTCAATATTTAGTGATTTTAACTCAGAGCTGCAAGATAAGTATTAAATGTTCTTCAGTTTTGTGCAGCATTAAAAAGTTTAAACTTTCTAATTTTTGGTGCCGAGTCTGCTTTTTGTTTTATTTCATTCTATTGTCTTTCTTTATTTATCTCATTTACGTCTTTATTCACAGCTGTGTTGCGTTTAGCTTTTTATTTGTTACAGTGCTTCTAAAACTGCTCGCTATATTGCTTTTTCAAACTGTCAAACTGGTTTTAAACTTTGATAAAAAAATTTATTATTATTAATATTTTGTTAACACACTAATTTATTATATATCTATTAAATTTTGTTCTACTTACTCTTTTATTTGATCTTTATTCTTGTTATTTATTATGACTTGTAACTTCCCCATTGTAACATTAAAGGCGAGTCAGATCGCTACGTTTCATGCTGGCTTTGTGATGGGCTTGCCCATATTAAATGCGCTGGACTGACAGGTAGAATCTTAGATTCTATTCTCGACTGTAAGGGATTGCGTTGGTCCTGTTTAAATTGTAGATCTATTGAAATCGATCTATTTAAAGTTTATAGGAGGACACGCAATGGCTTTAACGAGATCGTCGTGATCTTGTAACCCTCACTGAAATTTAAGCGCTATGAAAATTGTTCAAATCTTGTAAGTCCTGAATGATTCACGAATCCTCTAAACCTGCTCCTAAGCGTAAACGTCCTTCTGATGAGTAACACTTAGTTCTTCTGTACAAAGAAATGTCTCCTCCAATGACCTAATAAATCTCTCATCTCCTTGCCCTAATGATAAAGCCGTCAACTTCAAAAGCTCAATTCCTAAAGCTCTGTCTAATAGTAATAAGTGTCTCACAATTCAGAGCTCCCTAATAACATGGTAGCATCAGTTAATAATTTGATAGTTATTCCACCTGAAAAGTCTATATTTATTTCGAGACTTGCCAAAGATACCTTGTGGAGGACATTAAATCACATTTCGTCACGTTTAAAATCGATGATATCAATATCCGTAAATTTAACTTCAATTATGATAGAAGTATATCATCGTTTAAAATAGACGTATCTCTTGAAACATTCAAAAGATCTTAGATAGTTCATTCTGGCACTGGAGTTTTTGTACAATTTAAACCAAAACTTAGAAGTCAAACTGAGAAAACATTGTTAAATTACCAAAAGCAACCACCGATATAAAAACTGATTGTAGAAATTCGCTAAGCATTTATTATCAAAATTTAGAGTCTTAATACAAATTAACCGACTTGTATTTGAACAGTTCAATTTAATTTCCATATAATTGGATTTACAGAAACTTATCAAACCTCACATGTTTGATAATGAGATTTTAAAGCGAATTTAAAATTTTAGATTGATCGACTGAGGTGTTCTATTTGCCGTGCATTCCTCTATCCCATCTGAAAATATTCTTGTTCAGGACACTCATTTGAATTTAAATGTATTAGAGTATACGTTAATAGTTGCTTTATTTATTTAACCTATCTTATATACCACCCAATCGGATTTATCTGTATACTTGCAGTATGCTTCTTTAATAAATAGTGCTACCTCGATGGCAAATAATGCAGATTCAATAACTGTATTAGGTGATTTCAATTACCGTGTGCTTCATAAAACCTTTCGATGATTATATCATTGATTTGCAATCGTCATGTTTATAAGTTTTTCGAAAAATGTCCGAGTTGGTCTGAACAAATTAATTTGATCCGAATAAATTTGGTAAATGCTTAGATTTATACGTTGATACCTCTGCAAAGTGTTCCGTTATTCAGAGTAATCCTCTTGTTCTACCAGAGGACTCATATCATCCTGCTTTGGAAATATCTGTCGAAATCTCAGGCATAGTACGGGATAATAATCATCAAACTTCGTGCTTCTGTACTCGTTTAACTTTGCAAAACTAATTTTAAAAAGTTAAATACAGAACTTCTACAATAACATGCCTAATTATAATGGTGACATTGAATTGAGTGTCTCTCATTTTAATAACAATTATAAATTATTTGAAAAGTATGTTCCAATAGTATTGTTAATAAAAGCAAAAGTATAAGTCCGTGGTTTTCTAAGAGTTATATAAATTGAAAACTCAGCCTTTCACATTTTAAAAACCAGTTCACTTCGACTATTCTAAATATTCTCTATTGCGTCGACAATATTTGACGTAAACAAAAATGTTATAATAATTACTTTAATAAAGTAAAAATATTGTAAGTAATCCAAAATTGTTTTATGATTTCGTCAACTCAAACGCAGGATTTCAAATTTCCGTCCGCATGAAATACAAATCTATCATTTCAAGTGACAATGATATTATATCCAATATGTTTGCAAAATTTTCAAGTCAAACTACTGTAATAATTCTTCAAAACTTTTCTTATCAGCAAGTGCTGTGTTCAGATACTTTAATTAACGCTCCAATTATTTTTGAAAGACGTCCTATTAAATTTAAATAAGTTAAAACCATCTTTTAGTTATGTGCCAACATGATACCTCATGCTTCCTAAAAATAGTGCCAAATATATTTACCTGCCTTAAACACGGTATATTTCCTGCAATATGAAACAGTCATTTATAATCCCTTTATAAAAGTGGATTTAGATCCAACATTGAAAACTATAGAGTATCGAAAACTATCAGTTATACCTAAACTGTTTGAAGCTATCATCACTGACCATATAACCTTTTCGATTTCTCTGTTAATTTCCTCATCTCAGCATGGATTTCGTAAAGGAATTCGACTATAACAAACTTACTTGAATTTGTAAACCATGTCTCATTGGGTTTTAGGGAACATAAGCATACGGATGTTATATACAAGACTTTAGCAAAGCTTTCGATAAAGTAAATATCTCGATTCTCATACATAAACTTGATCTGCTGGGCTTTCAGCCAAGATTCCTTCAATGGTATCTTCCTATCTTTATAATAGAACACAACGAGTGATATTTGAGGATACACCTTCAGATACAATTAATGTTTCTTCAGGTGTTCCGCA